GTAGTCTGCTTGCTTGCAAACTAGTTGTTATGAACACTACGAAATCCATATTCTTGGTCATAGGTGAATTGTAGCATAAATTATAGAGCACACTACAAATTCTCTAACTCCCATTTACAGGTAAATTGTAGTGTATATCGTTCAGTTCTTATAAAGACCTTGAATGATGCTAAGTCTTGATACATACCGATCTCCACATAGCAAAGGGTTTCAAAAGAGCTCGAGTCCTTTTCAAGTTCAAGTGTAAGTCTCGTTCGAGTTTGAGTTTGAGTTCAAATCCAACATTATTTGATCAAATTTAATTTAAAATTGATTTTACATTTGAATTGAATTTAAATCAATTTTTTATTTTAAGTCCAAGTCCTCTGTTGTCCACTGAAAATTTCGGCAGCCTCCCGGCGTCTCCTCCCCACCGAGGGAGAAATCGGGATGGCACTGCCGTAGTTCTTCCTACCCGGACCTAAGGTCGACGGCGGAGGGTCTTTTATTTTTATCTTTCTTTCATTCGCTTTTTATTATTTATATATATATATATATATATATATATATATATTAGTTATAAGATATTATTTTATAATATATATAATACATATATTATTATATAATATATATAATACATATATTATAAAGAGAGTGAGGGAGAAAGAATCGGGAAGAGCAAAGCCCGATCAGGCTAGGTCGGAGACAGGGAGGGATCACGCACGGCGGGATTCGGATGCTAGTCGGCGACGGAGGCGGCGGAGGCGGCAGGTCGGCGACGGGTCCTTGATCGGCGAAGGTTCGATTAGGGCAGATGGATGCAAGAGTCGGACTCCGCCCGTGTCGGGCACGGCGATGGAAGTCACGCACAGAGGCGGCTTGGTCGACGGGTTCGGCGTCGGCAGGCGGCGGTGGGTTCGGCTGCGTCGGCTCAGGCGGTAGGACGGCGGGATGATGGGGTTGGAAGGAGTCGGAGCAAGAGGTAAGTGGCTTTTCCTTGCTTGCGATTTTTCTTCCCATTCTGTGAGCGTATGTGTGCGTGTGTCAGAGCCGAATGAGAGGAAGATTTCATTTTTATTTCGTGAGTGAGGCGATGGGTAAGTCGGTGGGCGAATGGTCGTGTCCGATCGGGGCTTCAGTCGGTGGGGAGCGAGAGTTACAGTCAACAAACAGTTCCTGTTCTAGCTCTTCCAGAATTTGGTCAGGTCTTTGTAGTGGAGACGGATGCATCAGGATATGGGCTAGGTGCAGTGTTGATGCAGAATCACAGGCCAGTTGCATACTTCAGTCAAGTGCTTTCAGCCAGGGCTAGATTGAAGTCAGTGTATGAAAGAGAGCTGATGGCCATTGTCTTGGCTATTCAAAAGTGGCGGCCGTATCTCTTGGGAAGGCACTTTATCGTGCGGACTGATCAGAGGAGCTTGAAGTATTTGCTAGAGCAAAGGATGGTGATTGAAGAGCATCAAAGGTGGTTATCCAAACTACTAGGATATGACTTTGAGATCCAGTATAAGCATGGTTTGGAGAACAAGGCAGCTGACGCTCTATCCAGATGTGTGGGGGAACTCTAGAAGTTAGCTCTGTCTGTACCCTTGATGGTCGACTGGGGAGCCATCAAGGAAGAAAGCATGTTAGATGATGAATTGGGAAAGATCAGGGAGGATCTAAGGAAGGATAAGAGTAGCCATCCGGGATACTGCCTTGAGGGGGAGAGACTATTGAATCAGGGGAGGTTTGTCCTGCCACGAACCTCCATTCACATCCCCAACTTATTGCAGGAGTTCCACAGTAGCGCAATTGGAGGCCATTCAAGAGTTCAGAAGACATACACGAGGCTAGCAGCAGAACTCTATTGGAAAGGGATGCAGAAAGATGTGGAGGAGCTGGTGGCGAGGTGTGAAGTGTGCCAGAGGAATAAATACCTGGCCATGGTGCCAGGAGGGCTGTTACAACCATTGACACTTCCAAACAAA